ATAGCGATCATGACTGATGTAACAAACTCGGTTTTCTGGGTTTCCCTAACACACGGACAAAGCAGATGGCTAAATTGTAATCAGCTCGTTGGGAGTTTAGCGTGTGTGTTGTGTGGAAACAACCCTTGCCTTGTTTTAACCCAGAGATACGGGGAGAATATATACTGCAGAATATATTTAGCTTTTGAATAATGTTTCAAAGATATGCAGTATGTTTTCTCCTATGATCAGGGACGTGACTGAATGGGCTGAATCCTGAGATCGATACTTTATCTATATTGATTTATTTTTTCCTAGTAATCATATTAATAAAGGGTGTTTGGGGGCATCCTTAGGCATCCCCACAGCTAGGGTTGCCAAGTCTGCTTCCAAAAAATAGCAGACAAGCGGGGGGGGGGGTTAAGTAGTAAAAAAAGCAGACTGTACAGCTTTAGATTACGTACCATTTCATCATAAAGCTTTTGAATAAAAAAAATGTCCACTATTTTGTGAAAAAAAATAGTGAACATAATGTGAAAAAAGTGGACTGTCCGCCCAAATAGTGGACACCTGGCAACCCTACCCACAGCTTCAGCTTCTTTTAATTTCTTTGGACTGTGACTCTTAAAAGTCATTTCCCCCTCTCCAACCAGAGACAAGAAAATTCTGGAATCCCTAAAGTAAATAATACCAGCTATGGCACTTTAATACATTCGCCTCTGGAAAGCCGAGGACATCTTATCAGGAATGGCACCAAGCTTATGCCAGCAAAAGGTTGACATTCCAGGATGTTGTCGGTCCTGTTTTCTTCACCCTCCCGAGAAAGAGGAGTTTGATCTTACTTACCTGCAGCTTTGGTGACCAGAAACAGCATTCCCCAAATCACCTGGAAGAAACTGAGGGCAGAAAACAGCAGCGCCATTTAGGAGAGGATGGCTTCGGAAGGAAATCTCTTCTGCCGTCTGCTCAGTGCCGGGAGAATCGGATTTCATCTTCTGTAGGGCTGGCTCTGCTTTTTCCATTTCCTTCAGGAGCAAAACAGCCCATGGTAGCTGCTGACCTCTGTCGGCAGTCTGAGAAAAGTGGCCTAGTTCTCTGCATTCCCTCTTCTTCTGTAGCTGAGGCTCTGTCCATGCAGAAAAAGTTCTTGTTAAAAAATCCTCAGGATTTTTTTCCCCCCCACACACCCAGGCTGCCTTGTAAGGAGCCATTTGATTAAGGCACCAGGCTAGAAGCTAGGAGACGGTGAGTTCTAGTCTTTGCCTTAGGCATGAAAACCAGTTGGGTACTTTGGGCCAATCCAGGAGATAGTGAGTTCTAGTCTTGCCTTAGCCATGAAAGCCAGCTGGGTGACTTTGGGGCCAATCAAAAGTCACCAGGAGACTGGGAATTCTAGTCCTGCCCTAGGCATGAAATCTGCCTAGGTGACTTTGGGCCAATCACCGGGAGATGCCCAACTGACCTCACAGGGTTGTTGAGGGGAAAATAGGGGGAGAAAGAACGTATGTTGCTGCTGAGTTATTTTTAAACACAAAAAGGCAGGATGTAAAGAAATAAACAATAAATAAATTTGTGGCGGATTCTCCAGGATCTTACACAACAAAGGTTTCAAGTGTCCTTTTTAGGAATAACATGTGTCCTTTGCGAGACAGGAAGTTGTTATTTTAGTTTTTTTTAATGCAAAAAACCCTGTATGTTTTAAAATAGAACTATGAGTGTCTTTCTGGGTGGATTTTGATGCTTTATATACATTTCCTGCATTGTTTTGCTTCATGTATTTCCCACAGTTATAAATGCATTGTAACCAGACCTAAAAATAATTGCAAATTATTGGTTTAGCATAATATGTAACCAATTAGAACACGCATCGTGTCAACGTTTTATTCCATAACATTTTGAACACCCTCAAAAGATGAATTCCATGCAGGCTGGGGAATTCTGGGAGTTGCAATCCATGTTGCCGTGTCGGAAAAATGCTGATGTAAACTATCCTCCTCTTGTAACAAAGCGGAATAACTTTGCTGGACACAAATCAAAAATAGAATTTTCTTTGTTTTGCCTTCCTGGTGCGAACCCATCCAAAAACTCAGCCAGGCGAGGATGATTAACCTGTTAGTTGGAAGGACAAGATGACATTCCTGCAAATGTAAGTAGAAGCAGTTGGGGAAAAAAATCCTTGTTTTCCAATCAAGGGAAGCCAATAGAAACCGCAGCAACTAATTAAAGAGATGACTTTGGTGAGGGGAAAAAAATTGTAGCATTTTAAAGAGATGCATTAATGCAGTGTTTCTCAACCTTGACAATTTTAAGGCATGTGGACTTCAACTCCCAGAATTCCACAGCCAGCATTGCTGGCTGTGGAATTCTGGGAGTTGAAGTCCACATGCCTTAAAATTGTCAAGGTTGAGAAACACTGCATTAATGGCAGGATTTGCTTTTGTGTTTGTGTTTGCCGCGCTTGTTCCAGATTGCAAAGTCAAAATACAGAGAAAAGGCACGAAAAACCCATAAAGCCCCATAGAACCGATAGGGAATTATGGGAGCTGTAGTTTTAATACGCCTGGAAATTCCCCCCACCCACCCGCCTGTTTTCCTGCGAGGTCAATCGCCTCCAAAGGCTTAGGGAGCCTCAGTTCTGTATTGTGCTGCGAAAGGTTGCACTGATTGGTTGGGAAGAGGCGAGAGCAGCGCGCCGATTGGCTACTCCCAGACGAGAAGGCGAGGTGTAGAGATAGAAAAAGTGTAGAGATAGAAAAAGTTAGAGAAGAGAAGGCAACGTCCCTGCCGCTTCCTCCCTTGAAAGCGAAGAGTATATAGAAAAGTGCCACAATCTATGCCACAATGTCTATCTGCCCTCAGGAGGACGGATGGCTTTTTTTTCTTTCATTCTCGGATATCTGAATGGAATTATAACACGCCTCTGTTCGTAGCTCTGAGGCGCCTCCCAAGTGTATTCGATTCTTTGGTTTAGGTTTGAGGCGCTTGGGGACGAGGGCGGAAATGACGGCAGCGGGCCCCCTCTTGCCTCTCGCCTAGCTCTAGGGGAGGAGGAAGGGGCCGGAAGTGGCGCCGCCAAAGGCTTCCGCCGCGGGCAGGTGAAGCAGCGGAGCCAGAGCGGCGGCGCGGGAGGCGGCCGGGTCTCCGCAGCTGCTGCGGCGGAGCTTCGGGAAGCCGCCGAGGCGGGCATGAGGCGGCGGACGACGCGGCCCGGGCCGGTGAGAAGAGCGGGCGGGGCGCCGGGCCGGGAAAGGGGGGGGCAGGAACGGATGGAAGGAAGCCACGCTTCCCCCTCCCCTCGCGAAGCACAAAAGTGGGCGTGGCGGGGAGGCGTGGCTTTCGCGGGGGAGGCGTGGCCAGCCCTGATCCAGGCGAGATTGGCACTTAGGGAGTCGAGCTGCTTCTCCAACCGGGCGCCCTCTGCTTTCGGGGGACTACCGCCCCCATCGTTCCCAGCCGTGCTGGGCGTCCAAGGAGGGGGAGGGGGAAAGTCCTTCTGCCTCCCCGCTTCGTGCGAGGCAAGGGTCCGGGGAGTCGTTTCAGTTTGGGGGCTGCAGAGCTGAGGGTTCAAGAGCCAGGTTGAAGGGTGGCTGGGGAAGATGGGAGTCGTTGGAGTAGGAGATGGGATAGATTCAACCCGGGGAGGGGAGGGAGGGGGTTGGAGAGCTTTTTGTCTACCATAGATGCATTGGGTTGATCCCTTGCTTTTTGCACCGTGGATGGCAGAGCAGGGAGTGTAATTTTTGTCTCTGCAACCACAGCCCTGCAAGAGAGGCTGGGACTGGCCCAGAGTTAACCATGAAAGCCAATCACTAGGAGACGGTGAGTTCTAGACCTGCCTTAAAGCACGAAAGCCGCTTGGGTGACTTTGGGCCAATCACCAGGAGACGGTGAGTTAACAGAGGGATAGAATCAAGATCACGTGAAGTGTTAATACCACTTTACAAGGCCTTGGTAAGGCCACACTTGGAATACTGCATCCAGTTTTGGTCACCACGATGTAAAAAAGATGTTGAGACTCTAGAAAGAGTGCAGAGAAGAGCAACAAAGATGATTAGGGGACTGGAGGCTAAAGCATATAAGGAACGGCTGCTGGAATTGGGTATGTCTAGTTTAATGAAGAGAAGGACAAGGGGAGACATGATAGCAGGGTTCCAGTATCTCAGGGGCTGCCCCAAAGAAGAGGGAGTCAAGCTATTCTCCAAGGCGCCTGAAGGCAGGACAAGAAGCAACGGGTGGAAACTAACCAAAGAGAGAAGCAACCTGGAACTAAGGAGAAACTTCCTGACAGTTAGAACAATTAACCAGTGGAACAACCTGCCTCCAGAAGCGGTGAATGCACCAACACTGGAAGTTTTTAAGAAGAGACTGGACAGCCATTTGTCCGAAATGGTATAGGGTTTCCTGCCTGAGCAGGAGGTTGGACTAGATGACCTCCGAGGTCCCTTCCAACTTTATTATTATTATTATTATTATTATTATTATTATTATTATTATTATTATTATTATTATTTAGATATGAAAGCAGACTGGGTAATTTGGGGCCAATCACCAGGAGGCTGTGAGTTCTAGTCCTACCTTAGCCACGGAAGCCGGCTGGGTGACTTTGGGCCAATCACTAGGAGACTTTGAGTTCTAGTCCTGCCTTAGCTACGAAAGCCAGCTGGGTGATCTTGGTCTAGACCAGGGGTAGGCAACCTTGGCTCTTTTATGACTGATGGACTTCAACTCCCAGAATTCCTGAGCCAGCCATGCTGGCTCAGGAATTCTGGGAGTTGAAGTCCAGGAGTCATAAAAGAGCCAAGGTTGCCTACCCCTGGTCTAGACCCTCTTGAGTACCTTTGAGTTATTTTATTTTTTTAAAAAAAGTGGGATAAAAATAAATCTCTCCAGTAACACCATAGGCTCCGTATAATGATGCTAAAATAGCTCTGCTTTCTCTTTTCTTTTAGGCCGGCTGATCACTTGAGCTCTTCAGTTTCCTCCTAAATATTCACTCAACCTTCAGAAGTAAAAAAAATAAAATGGCATTTGTTTCGACCCAGGGGCCCACGGTGGTCGACCAGACCACCTTAATGAAAAAGTATCTCCAGTTTGTGGCGGCTCTCACTGACGCTAACACACGTAAGTGTCTTTTCAGCCCTGGTTTTCCTTTGGCTGCAGCCTCATGGACAACATTTGGTGCAAATCGCCCTGGGAAAATTGTGAGTTACTCTCCAGAATAATGCACGTTCTCCTCCTGGGAATTCACAGAGAATTGTGAATTCTTAAACCCAGACTTTGAGAGTAACCGTAGTGGTGCCAATTGTCAGGCTGGATGACATTTTGCACTGCAGAGGGGGAGAGAACGCATATGCAAGGACACAAACCTTGTGTTATTTCTGGCCCGCTTGGAGACCTAACAGAGAAGCAAATGATGATCACTTTTTCTCTTGAACCCCATAAAAAAATCACTTGACTGTGAGTGCGTGGAGACGTGTGTATGTGTGTGTGTGTGTGAAGGTTGCGAACGGTGATATGTGATGCTTAATATGTGGGTAGTGAGAGCTAAACTGATAAGATCTGATTGCTTCTTTCAGGGGGGTTCAAAAAAAAATACTTCTCTGCTACAGGTAAAAATGTATATTTCAATGCTTGCCTTTTGTTCTTGATTTCCAGCCGATGAAACGAAGCTGAAGATGATGCAAGAAGTCAGTGAAAACTTTGAGGTAACACTTCGGGTTGATAGTGGGGTGCTTGGTAGAGCTGAACACTTGGGGCCGTTGTTGACGGGAGGAGATTCACACTTCCTGGATAGAAAGATTTTACTAGAGGCCTAGTAAAGTTGTGGTAGACACTGGAAGGCTGTTATCACGACTGAAGGGTGACATAATAACAGTCTCCCCATATTTATGGGGCTGTCAAAAAGAAGGGGACAACCTATTCTCCAAAAGACCTGAGGACAGGAAAGCAATACAGATAGTCATCTACATACAACTAATTCATTTAGGGACCATTCAAAGTTAAAGGCACTGAAAAAAGTGATTTATGACCCTTTTTTCACACTTGACATCCCCACTGTGGCCAGAAAAGTCGCAAAATGGGGCTTAACAAATGTCTCGCTTAGCGACGGAAACTTTGGGCTTCAGTGTGGTGGTTAGTCGGGGACTACCTCCATCAGAGGCCTGGAAAGCTACTGGTAGATATATTGGAAGGCTGTTATGACTCTGAGAGGTGACGTGACGGCATTCTTCTGATATTTGAAAGTGTCATGGTTCCGACAGATGAAACTCTTCAAAGAACTTCGAGGCATTGTTTACCTTAAATAATCTTTATTTGAGTAATATAGCATCGGCACTAACACAGTGGAAGCCAAAAACTGGATTCTCCTCCCCTGAGCACATAGTATCAAAGCACAATTCCCTCCTCCAGTTAACAGTCATAAATCACATTCTCCAATTACTTTGAAATGCAGGCCTTCCCTCCAGATCTCCAGCCCGGCCAATTCTTATCATCTCTTATTTCAATAACCTTGGTTCACACACTTGGTTCAGTTTTATTATGTTTAGCTAAACTCTCATGCACATTCCTCCCCCTCCCAGCATCATCTAACTGTAAAAGTAAAACATAAGAAGAAAATGGTTGCATCTCTTAACTGTTGTCAAAGCAAAAACATCGGATGGGGAATTCTGGGAGTTGAAGTCCATCCGTCTTCATGTTGCCGAAGCTGAGAAAAAAGATCTGGTTGAAAACCCCACAAAATCTTTTTTTTTCCTTTCTGTTAGAATGTGACCTCATCTCCTCAATATTCCACATTCCTGGAACACATCATCCCTCGCTTCCTGACGTTTCTCCAAGATGGGGACGTCCAGTTCCTGCAGGAGAAACCTGCCCAGGTAACCCTCCAGAAATAATTCCTCGTTCCACAGGGATGGCTTCCGGCCTCTTTCATGGGCCTTTTTCAGCCAGGCTGGTCAAACAGCCAGAGAGGGGATGAATTTCCCAATAAAAAAGTGTTTCCTCATCTTGTAGATTGTGCATAATTGTGCAGATGTTACATAATCTTAAAACTGATGGTCTGTCTCTGTTGTAAAGACATGGGCTCCATCTTTTTAAACCTTGGAAGGAAGGTGAAATTAAAGATAAAAGACCAACCCTGCTTTTGATAGGGTTTGTATACTGGTTGCAATATAACAAATTTAGTACACCTTCTGAGATCTGTTGGTTTTTTTTTAACCTTCTAAGTTATGAGTCTTCAAACTTGGCCCTTTTATGACTTGTGGACTTCAATTCCTAGAATTCCTCAGCCAGCTTTGCTGGGAGTTGAAGTCCACAAGTAATAAAAGGGCCAAGTTTGAAAACCCCTGTTCTAAGTTTTACTGAGAATTCCCAATGTCTCTCATGGGAAACAACCTTGCTTAATTTTTGGATGATAGCTGAAAAGATCTGATTTGATTATTGTTCATTTTGACATGCGGTTTATTTCTTTTTTTTTAGTGTAAAACCTTTCTTAAGCTGTTCATGCATTTAAAATTTGCAGACGTGTACAATTTCAATTCATGTAATAAGCTTTTGGAGTTTCATTTGGGTCTTTTAACATAAACATGTTTATCATTGGAAGTCAAGTTCTGTTTCCCATTTTTTCTCCCTTTCTGCAGCAACTGAGAAAATTAGTTTTGGAGATAATCCATAGAATACCAACCAATGAACATCTACGCCCACACACCAAAAATATCTTATCTGTGATGTTTAGATTCCTAGAGGTAATTCGGTTGGACTACGCTCTCTGCATTTTTTTCCCATACTGTTTGCAGTATGCAGTTCTGATTTTTGCTCTTTAATAAACCCTTTTTCTTTTCCACCTCTTTCCCTCTCTCGCTTTTAGACTGAAAATGAAGAAAATGTACTTATTTGCTTGAGAATAATTATTGAGCTTCACAAACAGTTCCGGCCGCCCATCACACAAGAGGTAATAAATTTCCTGGCCGAAGTTTTTAATTTACGGACGTGCAGTTGAATGACGTAGTCAAAGCCCACAAACTTTTGGGGTTCCCACACGTAATCTTTGGGGGAAGAATGTCAAGCTAGGGTGAACAATAGGCCTCCTCAAGCAGCAGATTCTGGGACTCAGACAGACTTCCTTGAAGACTACAATGGTTTCAGATTTCGAAATCAAAATTTCTCATAACATTTCCCCCCTTTTCCTGCAGATTCATCACTTCTTGGATTTCGTGAAACAGATATACAAGGAGCTACCCAAAGTAGTGGTAGGTGATGTGATGATGACATTTGTGCTTTTCTTCTACGCCGCATGAAAGTTTTATTGGGAAACCCTTGGACCTGATCCAGGGTAGCGCCGAATCTCCAAGGCGTTTCTACCGTTTGGCTGGTTTTCCTAAATTCCTGATCCCGGAATCCATCGGTTCCAATATGCTTTTGCATCGCGGCCTGCCATCTGCAGCGAGAGTGATGTACTTCGCTTGTGTTTCCTACCTTAGAATCGGTACTTTGAGAATCCTCAAGTTGTTCCTGAGAACACCATTCCCACTCCAGACATGGTGGGCTTGATCACGACGATTGTAGTGAAAGTAAATCCGGAGAGAGACGACAGTGAAACCAGATCGGTGAGTACAAGAAAAGATATGTCTTGAAAAAAAACCTGTCTTTGTAGGAGAAGGAGAGGCAGAACCTGGGGGCAGAGTTAAAAGAGGAATCAGCTTAGAATCCCTACATAGCCACAAGCGAACTAATTCTAACCTCCCTTGAGTGTCGGCCATTATCTAACTTCAAGCGGGTGCTGATCATGAGCTGAGAAAACTCTTGTGCATAGGCTGTTTAGCAATAAATCAGTTTACTTGGACCTTCATGTGTGGACCTGTTTTTTTCACATCTGACAAGAGGGGAATGAGAGGGAGGGAAGGAAGGAAGGAAGGAAGGAAGGAAGGAAGGAAGGAAGGAAGGAAGGAAGGAAGGAAGGAAGGACGGGAGGGACCGAGGGAGGGAGGGAGGGAGGGAGGAAGAGAGAGGGATGGGGATAAGAGGAAGAAGATGTGTAGGAGGATGGCAAAACCTGGGGCAGAGTTAAAAGAGGAATCAGCCTGGAATCGCTACATAGCCACAAGCGAACTAAGTTTGACATCCTTTGAATTCTATTGACCATTCCATTTTTTTTATCCTTTTCCAGCACGCGGTCATTCCTCGTGGCTCCCTTTCCTTGAAAGTTTTAGCAGAACTTCCCATAATCGTTGTCCTCATGTACCAGGTTCGTATGAAACCGTGTCTAAATTCCTATTTTTTTTTTCTTCCCACAAACTTTCTGCTATTTCTCTTTTCTTCTTCTCCTCATTAGAGACTAAGAGGTAGGCGCAATTTTGTGCGTTATCAACTTCTGGAACATTTTTGCTACCCTTCTCAGATGACTTGGAAAAGTAAAAGGTTGTCGGTTGTCCTTGTCTAACACACCTCTTTTGTTTTTTTTTCTTCTTAGCTCTATAAACTGAATATTCACAACGTGGTTGCCGAATTTGTGCCCTTGATCATGAATACTATAATTATTCAGGTGTCCAACCAAGCCAGGTATGCATATGGGGCGAAGCTTTTAACAAACCCTGAACTCTGTAAAGAAATGTACGCTGTTGATACAGAGCATAAAGGCAGGGGACTTCAAACTTGGCCCTTTTACGACTTGTGGACTTCAACTCCCAGAATTCCTCAGCCAGCATGCCTGGCTGAGGAATTCTGGGAGTTGAAGTCCACAAGTAACAAGTGCCTGGCTGAAGAATTCTGGGAGTTGGAAGTCCTCAAGTCACAAAAGGGCCAAGTTTGAAGACCCCTGGCATAAGGGAACAAACACGAGCATTCCAGCATCAAGAGTTACTGTTATTTACCTCAAAATTTTAAAAAAAACCAACCATTGTCTTCGGCCATCTTACGAGGAAGAGGTTTATAACTCTTCCTTGAGTTGGAAACCGCTTCCCTAAATCTTTAGCCTTTAAGGCAAGGAATGGCAGGTGTTATTTTTTTCAGACGGGGGGGCTGCATTTGCGAGCTGTATCCACAAAGGGACAGGCCAGGATCAAACCCGAAAGTAATTTAATTACAGTTGCATTATTGAACTAGGTACAAGTCACATCCTTCCTTTCCGTGCGTTTAAGCATTATCAGTCGTGTTAAACGTTGCAATCTGGTGGTGACAAAGAAGGGGGATCTATAATCAAAGATTTGGGGGGTCTTCATCCTGCTTTGGAGAGAGGCAAGCTTTGTTATCGTGCACTTTTGAATCTTTATTTGGTATCTTAAGTGCCAGGCTGTTTGTACTACTGGGGAATAATCTCACTGAACACAGTGGGACGTTACCCCCAGCAAGACCCATTTTTTAAGCCTTTTTTCCCCCCAAAAAACAAATACGTGGTGACTGAGAAGACCGTCTTTTTAAAAGGAAACCGATCTGTGAGCAAAGAACGTTTCCTACAAGAAGCTTCCTTTGAGGTTACAAATAGGTGGCATCTCCTCAGAAGAGGCATTTTTAGGAGGGAAAGCAGAATATTCTCGTAAAGCGCTGCCGACTTTACAATCAGTTGTTGAGTGTTTGTGCCAACCCACAATCCTTGTGATCCCATCTGCCTTCTTCCCTCTTCAGGCAGAATAAAAGCTACAATAAGGAATTGTACGCCGACTTCATTGCCGCCCAGATCAAAACATTGTCATTCCTGGCTTATATCATCAGGATTTATCAGGTGAGCGTTGCTGGCGTGGTCACCTGTGCCCTCCCCCCTTCCCCCTCCAAAGGCCAGGTCTTACTTCCTCGTAAGTTCCTCTTCATTGAGATATAAACCACGGAGGTCCCATCTACAATAGGGAGTTGCATTTATTTTATTTTATTTTATTTTTCTCGCCTTGCCAGGAGCTGGTGGCCAAGTACTCTCAGCAAATGGTCAAAGGAATGTTGCAGCTGCTGTCCAACTGTCCAGCAGAAACGGCTCACCTGAGGAAGGAACTGCTCATCGCGGCCAAACATATCCTCACCACAGACCTGAGGAGCCGTATGTATTTATTTTTGCCACGTTTAGATGGTTGCATCTCTTAAAGACAGGTAAGTCCTCGACTTAACGACCTCAAGGGAGCCCAGGATTTCTGCAACAGTCATTAAGTATGAACCCATTGCCCGGCCTCTGAATTTCGATCACACGACGGCGGGGCTGCGACAAACGTCGTTAAGGGTGAAAAAACGGTCCTAAGTCACTTTTTTCCCCAGTGCTGTTGTAACTTTGAACGGTCACCCAAATGGAACTGTCGTAAGTCGAGGACTGCCTGCGCCGTCTTAAATTCGTTGAAACCTCTTAATATAAACCTGGTCGCTTTTCATGGCGGTACTTACTCCGTGGCAAATTCTTTGTTTTGCAGAGTTTATCCCGTGCATGGACAAATTGTTTGACGAGTCCATACTCATAGGTTCCGGCTACACGGCACGTGAAACTCTCAGGTGTGTAGCACATACTTTTACCTGGAGGCCTTTGGGGGGGGGGTCCTCTATAAAAGTCTGCAGGGGAAGGGAAATTGTGATGCAGGCCTGGTCCCACACCCTACAAACGCTGCAACTTTAGATGCTTGTTTATCTATTATTTGCTTAGCGTACGATGAGAACACGACAAAAGTAAACATATGCACACACAATCTACGTAATTGTATACAAAACGTCTACGGGGTGTGTGTGTGTATGGCAGTGGCCTCATAACTAGATTCCCAATTCAGCTACCCAAGTGGTCCCCTCTGGCATTGCTTCGTGCAAATTGTCTGTGGAACTGTTATAACTTTGAAACGGTCACTAAACGGACTGCCAGTTGACTGCCTGTCCTTGTCAGGTCCCCTCATAAGTCAAACTTTTTTGGGGCACCATCCTAACTTACCGGTTGTTGAGTGAACGGTTGTAAGTTGAAGACCACCTGTGGGAAGCTTTCTGCCCAACCTTGGTTAGCTGTAGGACATCTTTGCCCCTCCCCAAACGAAAATTTAAATGAACCTCACCTCCGAAATAATAAGAATAAGAATAATGAGAAGAAGAATAAGAATAAGAATAAAGTTGGAAGGGATCTTGGAGGTCATCTAGTCCAACCCACTGCTCAGGTAGGAAACCCTATACCATTTCAGACAAATGGCTGTCCAGTCTCTTCTTAAAAACTTCCAGAGTTTGAGCATTCCCCGCTTCTGGAGGCAGGTTGTTCCACTGGTTAATTGTTCTAACTATCAGGAAGTTTCTCCTTAGTTCTAGGTTGCTTCTCTCCTTGATCAGTTTCCATCCTTTGCTTCTTGTCCTGCCTTCAGGGGCTTTGGAGAATAGTTTGACTCCCTCTTCTTTGGGGCAGCCCCTGAGATATTGGAATACTGCTACCATGTCCCCCATCGTCCTTCTCTTCATTAAACTGGACATACCCAATTCCAGCAACCGTTCCTTATATGTTTTAGCCTCCAGACCCCTAATCATCTTTGTTGCTCTTCTCTGCACTCTTTCTAGAGTCTCAACATCTTTTTTACATCATGGTGACCAAAACTGGATGCCATATTCCAAGTGTGGCCTTACCAAGGCCTTGTAAAGTGGTATTAACACTTCCTGTGATCTTGATTCTATTCCTCTGTTAATGTGTCCTTGTTTCAGGCCCCTGGCGTACAGCACTCTGGCTGATCTGGTTCACCACGTCCGCCAGCATTTACCTCTCAACGATCTCTCCCTGGCTGTCCAGCTCTTTGCCAAGAACATAGACGATGAGTCGTTACCCAGCAGCATCCAGACTATGTCATGCAAACTTTTGCTCAACCTGGTGGATTGTATTCGCTCCAAGAGCGAGCAGGAGAACGGAAACGGCAGGGATATTCTCATGAGGATGTTGGAGGTAGGAAGGCTCGGGCCTGGGAGTGAGAAGACTGCGCTGGTGGGAATGCCAGAGTGAAACGGTACTACGGCTCAAACGTGGACTCTTGGGAGAAGCGTTGCGTACTGTAGGGGTCCCCAATCTGCAGCCCACTACCAGGCCTTGAACTGTTTGGAACCGGGCTGTGGAAGAAGACAAACATGCACATCCCTAGTAGTGGGTGAGCACGTGTGTGTGTGCTACATTTGTACAAGGAGGTGTGTGTGCCCGGCGCTCGTACAAATGGAGCATGCTTGCCTGCTGCTCGTGCAGAACACACACACACACATACACACGCACCCTGCTGGCTCACAAAGTTGGAAAGGTTGAGGAACTCTGGTGTATTAAATTATTAAATTAAAAAATGAATGGGAATGGTGGAGTCTTTTAACTTTTAAAGGACTTTAACTAGTCCTTTAACTATTTATCATCCTGTAAGGTGGCTTCGTAGCTTAGGGGTGGAATATAAGCCTCGCACCTTTTAAGATGGGGGTTCAATGCCCAGAATTCTCAACAATGGCTCTGCTGACTGGGGAATTCTGGGAGTTGAAGTCCACCGATCTTCCAAGTTGCCAAAGTTGGACAGTCTTACTTTATGGAGACGGTAGCAATGCTTTAGTCTGGCAAGATTCCGTCTATAGGTGAGAAAGAACGTGCTTGGGAGAATCCCGAGGCGTCTTTCTTGCTTTTTGCCTCCTGACAGCGAGGGGGGTGTTCGAAAAACTTGGAAGCGAAAGGCATTGCAGACGCGTCCTTATTTCCACCCCCTTTAGTACCCTCGTTGTTCCTCATCTCCCCTTCCTCTCCTTCTCCTTTCTCAGGTTTTTGTCTTGAAATTTCACACCATCGCCCGCTACCAGCTTTCCATCATCTTTAAAAAGTGCAAGCCACAGTCAGAGCTGGGGGCAGGAGAAGCCGCTTTAACCGGGGCGCCGGCAGGGGGAAACGCACTTCCGGTCACGGTTCCTTCCCCTGCGCCCACCACCACCCCGGTGGTCCCGGCCTCAGGGCCCGTCTTTGAGAAGCAAGGGGAGAAGGAGAAGGAGGACAAGCAGACGTTTCAAGTCACGGATTGTCGGAGTTTGGTGAAGACCTTAGTCTGCGGGGTCAAGACGATCACCTGGGGCATCACGTCTTGCAAAGCTCCTGGCGGTAAAATTGACTTGAGCTTTAATTTTTAAAATGGATTCAGGTGGCAACCCAATCCCGGACCTTTAAGTTGAGATTGTGAATTGGAGTTGGCTCTTTTTCCCCTCTTTCTTTCTTTCTTTCTTTCTTTCTTTCTTTCTTTCTTTCTTTCTTTCTTTCTTTCTTTCTTCCTTCCTTCCTTCCTTCCTTCCTTCCTTCCTTCCTTCCTTCCTTCCTTCCTTCCTTCCTTCTCTTTCTTCCTTCCTTCCTTCCTTCTCTTTCTTTCTTTCTTTCTTTCTTTCTTTCTTTCTTCCTTCCTTCCTTCCTTCCTTTCTTCCTTCCTTCCTTCTCTTTCTTTCTTTCTTTCTTTCTTTCTTTCTTTCTTTCTTTCTTTCTTTCTTTCTTTCTCCTTCCTCTTCCTCTTCTCTCTCTTTCCTTCCACTCTGCAGAAGAAAGCAGAATGCCTCTTGTAAGATAGTTGTTGCCTGCCTGATTGGAGGGGCATCTTTTTTATTGCCTTAAAATATCTAAATAAATAAATTAATTATGCTTGTTTAAATGGACAAATCGGATAAATGATGCAGCACTAAGGTTTTATTGTTATATGAACTGGTGATCTTTTACAATTAAAAAAAAAGAGGTCCGATCTCAGCGATTCTTCTCTTTCCTCTGTTTAGAAGCCCAGTTCATTCCCAATAAGCAGCTTCAACCGAAAGAGACCCAGATTTATATAAAATTGGTCAAATACGCCATGCAGGCTTTGGATATTTATCAGGTACGTATCAGGACTTTGGCGTCCTCATGGAGGCGACTTATAACTCTAATTTGGAAGATGGTTACAGCTAGTCCTCATCTTATGAAGAAACTTCTTGGATGAGAAGCGAAATGTCTTCAAAGAAAAAGAAAAGAAAAAGCACCTTTGGGACATCTTAATTTCATATTTTATCTGGTATTGTTGTATTGTCCACATTATCTACCTTTCTGTCTGTCTGTCTCTCTTTCTCTAATCAGTCTCTCTCTCTCTCTCTCTCTCTCTCTCATCTATCTTTATCTCTATCTATCTACCTACCTATCTCTCATCTCTTTCATCTGTCTATCTATCTATCTATCTATCTATCTATCTATCTATCTATCTATCTATCTATCTATCTATCTATCTATCTATCTATCTATCTATCTCTGTCTATCTATATCTATCTATCTCTGTCTATATATATCATCTCTGTCTATCCATCTATCTGTCTATCCATATCTATCTATCTATCTATCTATCTATCTATCTATCTATCTATCTATCTCTATATCTATCTATCATCTGTCTATCTATCTATCTATCTATCTATCTATCTATCTATCTATCTATCTATCTATCTATCTATCTATCTATATCTATCTATCTCTGTCTATATATATCATCTCTATCTGTCTATCCATATCTATCTATCTATATCTATCTATCTATCTATCTATCTATCTATCTATCTATCTATCTATCTATCTATCTATCTATCTCTGTCTATATCTATCTATATCTATATATCTCTGTCTATATATATCTATCATATCTATCTATCTATCTATCTATCTATCTATCTATCTATTATATATTTATCATCTCTACCTACATCTCTCTGTCATCTCTACATCCATCCATCCATCTTTGCTGATGCTTTATCTAAACTTACATTTGCAACATTTGCATATCAGTGATTTCATGACCTCTAGAGATGCCATACGCTAAATAAATAAATAAAAGCTCAGGGTGTTCTCGTTAACGTGGCCAAGCACCCTTATTTTAATTCCATGAAATGTCTCCCGCCCAGGTCCAAATAGCTGGGAACGGGCAGACGTACATTCGGGTGGCCAACTGCCAAACGGTCCGAATGAAGGAGGAGAAAGAGGTCCTGGAACACTTTGCTGGGGTCTTCACCATGATGAACCCTCTGACTTTCAAAGAAATCTTCCAGACGTCTGTCCCTTACATGGTGGAAAGGATCTCCAAGAACTATGCCCTCCAGGTAGTATGTTTTGGGCACTTGACAGTGAGTGGCCCGCGAAAGTGGGCATCACAGTTCACAACGTTCCTTCTCTGGCACTGATTTCTAACCGTTGTGCTGTTTTATTGTGCGCTTGAGGTTGCAAGGAAACTGTGCACCAGAGGGTGGACTGTGGCTTTCCTGTCTAAGGTGGGACTAGTCTCCTGGTGATTGACCCAAAGTCACCCAGCTTTCATGACTAAGGTGGGACTGGAACTCACCGTCTCCTGATAATTGGTCCAAAGCTGGCTTTTAGGTCTCAGGTGGGATTAGAACTCACCGTCTCCTGGTTTCTGTTGCCTTCCCTACTAGACCAAACCGGCTCTCAATTTTTAGCATTTTAGCATTAACATTTCAGTTTTCATTAGCAGTTTTTTGGGGGGAAAAAAATCAGTTTGCTTTTTTTCCCATTTTGACAGATTGTTGCCAATTCTTTCTTGGCCAACCCTACGACCTCCGCTTTATTTGCCACCATCCTGGTAGAGTACCTGCTTGACCGTTTGCCTGAAATGGGTTCCAACGTGGAGCTGTCCAACCTGTATCTCAAACTCTTCAAGTTGGTCTTCGGTTCGGTTTCGCTCTTCGCGGCGGAAAACGAGCAGATGTTGAAGGTAAAACGCTGGAGGAGAAATGGAGGAACGTGTACGCTCCAGCTGGTCCAAAATGCGGCCGCGCGGGCGGTGTTGGGGGGGACTCGACGTTCCCACGTGACGCCGCTGCTGCGCGAGCTGCATTGGCTGCCTGTGGCCTTCCGGGTGCGCTTCAAGGGGCTGACTATCATCTTTAAAGCGCTCCATGGCATCGGACCCGGATACATTCGAGACCGCCTCCTGCTGCAGATCACCTCCCATCGACCTGTACGCTCCCATAGAGTGGGCCTCCTCAGGGTGCCGTCGGCCAAACAGTGCCGGCTGGCGACCCCAAGGGGGAGGGCCTTCTCTGTGGGAGCTCCCACCCTCTGGAATGNCCTTCCTTCCTTCCTTCCTTCCTTCCTTCCTTCCTTCCTTCCTTCCTTCCTTCCTTCTCTTTCTTTCTTTCTTTCTTTCTTTCTTTCTTTCTTTCTTTCTTTCTTTCTTTCTTTCTTTCTTTCTTTCTCCTTCCTCTTCCTCTTCTCTCTCTTTCCTTCCACTCTGCAGAAGAAAGCAGAATGCCTCTTGTAAGATAGTTGTTGCCTGCCTGATTGGAGGGGCATCTTTTTTATTGCATTAAAATATCTAAATAAATAAATTAATTATGCTTGTTTAAATGGACAAATCGAATAAATGATGCAGCACTAAGGTTTTATTGTTATATGAACTGGTGATCTTTTACAATTAAAACAAAAAAAAGAGGTCCGATCTCAGCGATTCTTCTCTTTCCTCTGTTTAGAAGCCCAGTTCATTCCCAATAAGCAGCTTCAACCGAAAGAGACCCAGATTTATATAAAATTGGTCAAATACGCCATGCAGGCTTTGGATATTTATCAGGTACGTATCAGGACTTTGGCATCCTCATGGAGGTGACTTATAACTCTAATTTGGAAGATGGTTACAGCTAGTCCTCAAGCTTCTTGGATGAGAAGCGAAATGTCTTCAAAGAAAAAAAAGAAAAAGCACCTTTTGGACATCTTAATTTCATATTTTATCTGGTATTGTTGTATTGTCCACATTATCTACCTTTCTGTCTGTCTGTCTGTCTCTCTTTCTCTAATCAGTCTCTCTCTCTCTCTCTCATCTATCTTTATCTCTATCTACCTACCTATCTATCATCTCTCTCATCTATCTATCTATCTATCTATCTATCTATCTATCTATCTATCTATCTATCTATCTATCTATCTATCTATCTCTATCATCTCTTTCTATCTATATCTATCTATCTATCTATCTATCTATCTATCTATCTATCTATCTATCTATCTATCTCTGTCTATATATATCTATCATCTCTGTCTATCCATCTCTATCTGTCTATCCATATCTATCTATCTATCTATCTATCTATCTATCTATCTATCTATCTATCTATCTATCTATCTATCTATCTATCTATCTATTATATATTTATCATCTCTACCTACATCTCTCTGTCATCTCTACATCCATCCATCCATCCATCTTTGCTGATGCTTTATCTAAACTTACATTTGCATATCAGTGATTGCATGGCCTCTAGAGATGCCATATGCTAAATAAATAAATAAAAGCTCAGGGTGTTCTCGTTAATGTGGTCAGGCACCCTTAATTCCATGAAATGTATCCCTTCTGCCCAGGTCCAAATAGCTGGGAACGGGCAGACGTACATTAGGGTGGCCAACTGCCAAACGGTCCGAATGAAGGAGGAGAAAGAGGTCCTGGAACACTTTGCTGGGGTCTTCACCATGATGAACCCTCTGACTTTCAAAGAAATCTTCCAGACGTCTGTCCCTTACATGGTGGAAAGGATCTCCAAGAACTATGCTCTCCAGGTAGTATGTTTTGGGCACTTGTCAGTGAGTGGCCCGCGAAAGTGGGCATCACAGTTCACAACGTTCCTTCTCTGGCACTGATTTCTAACCGTTGTGCCGTTTTATTGGGCGCTTGAGGTTGCAAGGAAACTGTGCACCAGAGGGTGGACTGTGGGACTAGTCTCCTGGTGATTGATCCAAAGTCACTCAGCTTTCATGCCTAAGGTGGGACTAGAATTCACCGTCTCCTGGTGATTGACCCAGAGTCATCCAGCTAGCTTTCAGGCCAAAGGTGGGACTGGAACTCACCGTCTCCTGGTAATTGGCCCAAAGCTGGCTTTTAGGTCTCAGATGGGATTAGAACTCACCGTCTCCTGGTTTCTGTTGCCTTCCCTACTAGACCAAACCGGCTCTCAATTTTTAGCATTTTAGCATTAACATTTCAGTTTTCATTAGCAGTTTTTTTGGGGGAAAAAAATCAGTTTGCTTTTTTTCCCATTTTGACAGATTGTTGCCAATTCTTTCTTGGCCAACCCTACGACCTCCGCTTTATTTGCCACCATCCTGGTAGAGTACCTGCTTGACCGTTTGCCTGAAATGGGTTCCAACGTGGAGCTGTCCAACCTGTATCTCAAACTCTTCAAGTTGGTCTTCGGTTCGGTTTCGCTCTTCGCGGCGGAAAACGAGCAGATGTTGAAGGTAAAACGCTGGAGGAGAAATGGAGGAACGTGTACGCTCCAGCTGGTCCAAAATGCGGCCGCGCGGGCGGTGTTGGGGGGGACTCGACGTTCCCACGTGACGCCACTGCTGCGCGAGCTGCATTGGCTGCCTGTGGCCTTCCGGGTGCGCTTCAAGGGCTGACTATCATCTTTAAAGCGCTCCATGGCATCGGACCCGGATACATTCGAGACCGCCTCCTGCTGCAGATCACCTCCCATCGACCTGTACGCTCCCATAGAGTGGGCCTCCTCAGGGTGCCGTCGGCCAAACAGTGCCGGCTGGCGACCCCAAGGGGGAGGGCCTTCTCTGTGGGAGCTCCCACCCTCTGGAATGAACTGCCCCCAGAGATCAGGGTTATCCCTGATCTCCCTTCCTTTCGCCGCGCCCTCAAGACTTGGTTATTCCAGCTCGCAGGACTGGCCTAGGGTAATTTTTAGAGGGGTTTTAATTAATATTTTAAATTGGACAATTCTCTAATATTCCTTTTAATCAATTTTAAATCCGTATTGTTATTTGTGTATTTTAATTGATTGTCCGCCGCCCTGAGTCCTACGGGAGAAGGGCGGGATACAAATCTAAATAATAATAATAATAATAATAATAATAATAATAATAATAATAATACAAAGCACGTTTTTAGGGCCTGGTTTGTTTGAAAAGAATTCAGCAGGCCGTTGGTTAAATCCAAAACATCTTGTAAGTTGCTTTGACATTAGGAAGTGAAGTGAAGTCTCTGTGTTGATAGGCCTTTGGAGAGGAAAGCAAAATCAACTCTCTTTTTACGACCCTATAAATCCCTTAATTTCTGGGTAGAGCCAGGGCGATTGGATGGAGCTGAGCATTTACTGTCCGGATGCCCTTCCTGACACCTATGTGGAGTTTGCAGCAGATAATTTTCTCTTTACGCCCCCGAGAGAGAAATATTTTGAGGCTACTTAGGATTGAACTCTCAACCTTCCGAGTGGGAGGCGAGCGCCTTTACCACCAGGCCACCACGCTGCTTAGGAAAATTAAAAACAACAAACCCTTCCAATCTTTTTGCCAGATGTTGGTGATTATGGGGCTTGTCGTCCATCGTAAACGGAAGCTTGTTTTTCGGTGTGCCTAAATAATTATTCCAATCTCTCCCAATCTGCTTCATATCTGGCGTTCTTGTGTTCTGTAATTTTCTTTTCTTTGGAATTAACAAAACGTGGCATGCAATATTCCAAGGAGAAATGGGAGACATTTTTTCAACTGCCAAGACCTCCTGATTACTTGTGGGTTAATTGTTTAACCCCAAGCTGCTTCTTGCCTGGCAAATAAGTCTTAAGATGTGTAAAGTCTGTTCCTCCCTCAGAACCGGGTTCTCTATTTTGCGTTTTCCAAGTCAGCCTCCTGAATGAAGGTCATTTGGATGGTACAAAAGGCAAATCCAATTTCGTGGGTGTGATAAACGGCTGCCTTTGTTGCGCGCCTGTTAAAATTATTCGGTTCTCGATGCGTGGCCCTGAACAGACAATTTAATTTGAGGGATGAAAGTATTTCTTGCCCATAATGGAGCAAGGCCGGGCCTTTAGAGGTTAATAATAATAATAATAAAAGAAACTTTCCTGGTTATTATTTGTTACTGGGTTGAGTGATGTGGACCATTCTTCCACCCCCCTCTTTTTTTTTTAAAAAAAAAAATTGATTCATTCAGTTGCTACAGCTGCCCATCCCAGTCAAGGACTTTGGGTGGCTTACAATTAAAGCAAAAAAATACTACAATTAAAAATAATTTAAAACAAAAAGGATAAAACACACCCAAAATAAATAGACTCAGCGACTTGCTTAACAGCCGTCTTGCTTAGCAATGGAAATTTCTGGTCCCAGTTGTCATCGTAAGTAGAGGACTGCCTGTAATTGCAGCCTGTCCAGACAGATTTTTTTTTTTTGCACTCATGTCAGAAGCACCGAAGGTTTGAGGATTGAAAGTGACATCCCTGGGGACACCCAGTTGGGGACGCCTTTCATATCCCCAGTAGGAATGGAGTAGAGCTGGAAGGGGTCTTCCAGTCCAGCCCCCCCGCTCAAGCAGGAGACCCTACACTATTTCAGACAAGTGGCTGTCTAGTCTCTTTTTAAAAACCTCCAGTGATGGATCACCCACAACGTCTGAAGGCAAGCCATTCCACTGGTTGATTGTTCTCAATGTTAGGAAATTCCTCCTTAATTCCAAGTTGTTTCTCTCCTTGGTTAGTTTCCATCAGTTGCTTCTGGTCCTGCCTTCAGATGCTTTAGAGAATAGATTGACTCCCTCTTCTTTGGGGCAGCCCCTCAAATACTGGAAGACTGCTATCATGTCCCCCCAGACCTTCTTTTCTCTAGACTAGCCAAACCCAAATCCTGCCTGTGTTTTAGTCTCCAGGCCTTTAATCGTCTCAGTTGCTCTTCTCTGCACTTTTCCCCAAAGTCTCAAAACATCTTTTTTGAGGTTCACTCCAGGAGCTGGAGTGAAGGACGAGAACTCAACCCTGCCTGAGGTCAGCTCTTGGGTCTCGAACGCAGGAGACGCTCACCTCCTACCCAGCATTGCCACTGTAGCCACTCTGCTCCATCCGGACAGATAACTGGAACACAGGTTGCGTTTTGAGCTGCGTCAGCGATCTCCTCTCCCACCTTCCTTTCTGTTGCTTTCAGCCCCACCTCCATAAAATAGTCAACAGCTCCATGGAGCTCGCGCAGACGGCGAAAGAACCCTACAATTACTTCCTGCTGCTGAGAGCCCTTTTCCGGTCGATCGGCGGAGGCAGCCATGACCTCCTGTATCAGGAATTCTTGCCCTTGCTGCCTAACCTACTACAAGGTCAGTAATGCACCTCCCTCCCCCCGTTCTCCCATCATATGGGTGCTCCTCGGCTTACGATGGGTTGTTCGGCGGGCGTTCCAAGCTTGCCACCTTAAAAAGGGGGAACTTTCAACCTGGATTCAAAGTTCTGATGGCCGCCTCCCTCCCGGGTCTCAGGGCCAGAGTTCGGACACTCAGCAAACGTGGCTAGTTTACGGCCATTTGCAGCATCCTGCAGGCAGGTAACCAGGTTTTATGCCGGTTTCTCCCAAAACCGACACAGTTTTGGCAAAACCAGCCCTGTGGCGAATTGTGGGTTCCCTTGAGTTTTGTTTTACAACTACTGTGTTTGCTTAACGACTGCTGCAAAAAAAAAAAGCTATAAAATCAGGCTGGTCAGCTTTTTATTACGACTTGTCACGGCTTTACCACTATAGTGGACCAGGCTGCAAGGTAGTCTCGGTCGTAACTTGAGGAGTGCCTTCTAGATCTCTGTAAGGTTTGGCGGTGGGCTTGATGTTCTGGTTTTGTTCCTTGTTGCTCTTCAGGTCTCAACATGCTCCAGAGCGGTTTGCACAAGCAGCACATGAAAGATTTGTTTGTCGAGCTGTGCCTGACCGTCCCGGTGCGCCTCAGCTCCCTCCTCCCCTACCTGCCGATGCTGATGGACCCTTTGGTGTCAGCCTTAAACGGCTCTCAGACCCTGGTCAGCCAAGGCCTGCGCACTCTGGAGCTCTGCGTGGATAATCTGCAGCCAGACTTCCTCTACGATCACATCCAACCTGTCCGAGCTGAACTCATGCAGGTAAAGCTGTAATTGCGCGAATGGGACGGTAGAGGGCAGCCTTTACCTTGCTATTAGGACAAACCTACTTTGGAATGAACATCATCGCTCAACTTAGGATTCAAGGTGGAAGGTGGTCTGGTGAAAGGGAGGGAAGCTAATGGGAAGCATGCAGATTGCAAATTAGAATAGAATAGAATAGAATAGAATAGAATAGAATAGAATAGAATAGAATAGAATTACAGAATGGAATGGAATGGAATAGAATGCAGAATAGAATAGAACAGAATGCAGAATAGAATAGAATAGAATAGAAATACAGAATAAAATAGAATAGAATAGAAATACAGAATGGAATAGAATAGAACAGAATAGAATAATAGAATAGAAACAGAACAGAACAGAATAGAAATATAGAATAGAATGGAATAGAATAGAATAGAAATGCAGAATAGAATAGAATTGAATATAATAGAATATAGAATGGAATGGAATGGAATAAAATAGAAAATAGAATAGAATAGAAATACAGAATAGAATAGAATTGAATATAATAGAATATAGTATAGAATATGGAATGGAATGGAATAAAATAGAAAATAGAATAGAATAGAATAGAATTATAGAATAGAATGGAATGGAATAGAATGCAGAATAGAATAGAACAGAATGCAGAATAGAATAGAATAGAATAGAATGCAGAATAGAATAGAATAGAAATACAGAATAAAATAGAATAGAATAGAAATACAGAATGGAATAGAACAGAACAGAACAGAATAGAATAGAATAGAACAGAACAGAACAGAACAGAACAGAACAGAATAGAATAGAATAGAATAGAGCTGGAAGGGGACCTTGGAGGTCTTCTAGTCCAGCCCCCTGCTTAAACAGGAGGACCTATACCATCTCAGACAAGTGACTGTCCAGCCTCTTCTTGAAAGTCTCCAGTGATGGAGCGCCCACGATTTCTGGAGGCAGGCTGTTCCACTGGTTAATTGTCCTCCCTGTCAGGAAGTTTCTCCTCCATTCCAGCTTGTTAGCAATTAGTCTGAGGGAGGCAAAGAAAACCGCTTGGCCTCTTTGGGATCTGTTGAATTATTTCGGGGAACACGTAAAACTGTCACTTGCAAGAATTCCTGCCGGCTAGGATGAACGCTTCATTGTATTTGTTGTTTCTATCCTGCTGTTATTATTTTTTAGGAATAGCTCAGGGTGGCCAACAGGCCCAAAGCTATCCAGTTGGCTTTCAGGTTTAAAGCAGGACTAGAACTCACTGTCTCCCAGTTTCCAGCCTGGTGCCTTTCCCACTACTAGACCAAACTGGCTCCATAACGTATTTATTACGGAGGTTCTATGCTGCCCTGAAGAGCTTGGCAGGCTTTGGAAACTCAGCGTTTCACCCGCTCGCTTCTTAGGCTCTGTGGCGGACTCTGCGCAACCCTGCGGAGACCATTTCTCACGTGGCTTATCGGGTGCTGGGCAAATTCGGCGGGAGCAACAGGAAAATGCTGAAGGAGTCTCAGAAGTTGCACTACGTGGTGACCGAGATCCAAGGGCCTAGCATCACGGCGGAGTTCTCTGACTGCAAAGCGTCCATTCAGCTCCCCATGGAGAAGGTGAGGCCTTTTTTGAGTGCCTTCTGGGTTGTGGGGAGGGTTCAGCCTGAGAGTCTGCATTCATACGTCGATCCTGGGGGCCTGCCCAGTAATAGTCATAAGAAGCTAAGGAAATAGGTAACGGGAAAGGTGAGAAGAAGAATAGTAAGACAGCCCTAACTACCTTGTTTCTCCCAAAATAAGCCCTAGTGTGATTTTTCAGGATGCTCGTAATATAAGCCCTACCCCAAAAATAAGCCCTGGTTAAGATCTTCCACCAGACGGACGCATTTAGTACCGTATTTCCCCCAATATAAGCCCTAATGCAGTGTTTCTCAACCTTGACAATTTTAAGGCATGTGGACTTCAACTCCCAGAATTCCACAGCCAGCAATGCTGGCTGTGGAATTCTGGGAGTTGAAGTCCACATGCCTTAAAATTGACAAGGTTGAGAAACACTGCCCTAATGCGTCTTTTGGAGCAAAAATTAATATAAGACCCGGTCTTATTTGTGGGGGAAACACAAGCAGGTGGTTTGACTTCCCAGGGGCTCAAGACAAGTGTGGTGGGAAGCAATGGTGGGTGTTTTCCAACATTGTGGTGCTTTGGAGTTTTCTACCGCTTGACCAAGGTTGGATCCTTTTCCATCGTCTTAGGCCATTGAGACTGCCCTGGACTGTTTGAAGAGCGCCAACACCGAGCCTTACTATCGGAGGCAAGCCTGGGAGGTCATCAAGTGCTTCCTGGTGGCCATGATGAGCCTAGATGACAACAAGCATGCTTTGTACCAGCTTCTGGCACATCCCAAGTAAGGACACAGGTGGATCAACATTAACATTGACAAGCTGGGCCTTGTTCTTGCGATGGAGCCCAAGCTACCCAACAATCGGGGTGCCCTTTGGAGGCATCTGCCTTCTCTTCCCAGAATCCCCTAGCAAGCATGGAATTCTGGGAAGATGTATTTTGGGAGGTTGCCTAAAAGGGTGGTAGGCTGGCCGCATCATACGGGGATAATAAAATCCTAGTTAACCACGGCAGTGCCCGTCTTTCACGCTGTCCTAAACGCAAATGTCAAACATAGAGAATTATTTAAATTTATACTCCCCCAAAGAGTTGGGTGGCACAATGCAGCTAGTCCTTGACTGACAGCCATTTGTTTAGTAGTGACAGTTCCAAGTTGCAACGGCACCGAACAAAGTGACTTAGGACTGTTTTTTTCACACTTAACGACCGTCGCAGCTTCCAAGACAATTCCTCGGAGTAAATTCAAGGGGTTCTCGTTGTTCTTACTTTGGTTTTGCCAGCTTTACCGAGAAGTCCATTCCCAACGTGATTATTTCGCACCGGTACAAGGCTCAGGACACACCTGCTCGGAAGACCTTTGAACAGGCCCTGACCGGGGCCTTCATGTCCGCGGTGATCAAGGACCTGCGACCCAGCGCTCTGCCTTTCGTGGCCAGCCTGATCCGCCATTACACCATGGTGGCAGTGGCTCAGCAATGCGGTAAGAATTCGGCAACGAGGCCAACAACCTTCTTGAAGCCCGGTTTTGGCTGCAGGCGTAGATGCTAGCTTGGAAAGAAAGCAGCTCGTTCTTCGGTACCGTAGATTTAATTTGGGGAGCAGGACAGGTGACAAGAAATGGACACCTGTCCTAGTGCTGCCCAGGTGCCTTGATGATGGAGTTTCTAGGATTTGCCAACCTGGAGAGTCAAAGGCTGAACTCTTGGCACCGGAATTGCAGCATGTCTGGAACTGCAATCCTACCAGGCACCAGGTTGGGAAAGGTGGTGATGTAACTCTGGACTTCTTAGGACTTGGCCAAGATTTGACTTCAAGGATCTATTATTATGTGGTTCCCTGGTCTTCTCTGAGGTTGCTTGTTTTTTTGTAGACATTTCATGACTCAACTATGTAGCATTTCATCAGTGCTAGCAGGGAGTGGGGTTTGCGGAGAGGAGGAGGAGGAGGAGGAGGAGGAAGGGGGGGTTGGATTGTGGTAGACTCTGATGTCATTGGTGCTCTCTGAGCTTGGTTAATTTTTGCAGACAGTTTATTGCCCAACCAGGTAACATCATCATTCCTAGAAGGGCATGTAGTTTGCTCTCTGTGTATGTACAGTTAGCTTGCCCTGTCAATGTTGGTGGGATAGATAGATAGATGGATGGATGGATGGATGGATGGATGGATGGATGGATGGATAGATAGATGATGGATGGATAGAAGATGGATGGATGGATGGATGGATAGATAACTATAGAAGAGAAATTTGTAGCTGACAGATGAACTGTGGAGTCCTTGGTCTCTCTGAGCTTGGTGGTTTTCTTGCAGATGTTTCATTACCCAACTAGGTAACATCATCAGTGCTGGAAGGGAGTGCAGTTTGAAGCAAAACTACCCCTCTGCTCTTCTTTAACGTCCTTCTTCCCTCTTCCCTCCCTTCTCCTTTCGTCCTCCTTGTTGCCTGGTCAATCCCCAGGCCCTTTCTTACTCCAGTGTTACCAGGTGGGAAGTCAGCCCAGCACCTCCATGTTTCACAGCGAAGAAAACGGATCCAGAGGCATGGATCCCTTGGTGCTGATCGACGCCATCGCCATCTGCATGGCTTACGAGGAGAAGGAGCTCTGCAAAATCGGCGAGGTGGCCTTGGCGGTGATCTTCGACGTGGCCAGCATCATTCTGGGATCCAAGGAACGGGTAACTCCTTTTATGTGGCCGCCATCTCGTTCTCCAGAAGGTCCCTGGCCCTTTGGGTGACCCATGCTTCTTTCCATCCTCTAGGCCTGCCAGCTGCCCTTGTTCTCCTACATCGTGGAACGCCTCTGTGCTTGTTGCTACGAGCAAGCTTGGTACGCCAAGCTCGGCGGGGTGGTGTCCATCAAGTTCCTGATGGAGCGGCTCCCTCTTATTTGGGTCCTCCAGAACCAGCAGACATTCCTCAAGGCTTTGCTCTTCGTCATGATGGACCTGACGGGAGAGGTACGTCTCTCTTAGGACTCAAGGTGGACTCAGCCTTCCATCCTTCTGAGGTTGGTAAAATGAGGACCCAGATTGTTGGGGGCAAAAGGCTGACTCTGTAAAATACTTAGAGAAGGTTGTAAAGCACTGTGAAGCGGTATATAGGTCTAAGTGCTACTGCTGATGAGCCATGGTGGCGCAGTGATTAGTATGCAGTATTGCAGGCTAACTCTGCCCACTGCCAAGAGTTCGATCCTGACCGGCTCAAGCTTGACTCAGCCGTCCAACCTTCCGAGGTTGGTAAAATGAGGACCCAGATTGTCATGGGAGAAATATGCTGACTCTGTAAACTGCTTAGAGAAGGCTACAGAGCACTGTGAGGCAGCGTGTGAGTCTAAGTGCCCTTGTTCTTTATTTTAATCATCAAATTTCATGCGGCACCTGTCGCTTTCATTTTATAGCTCGCTTTCCTTTCCTTGCCCCCTCCAGTCAGTCAAATCAATCTTTCGTTATTGTCACAGACCTGAATAAAATGTAAAAACGTGAAAATAAAGTTTGATTGGTGGTGAAATGCCCGTCTAGGTCTCCAACGGGGCCGTGGCAATGGCCAAGACCACTTTGGAGCAGCTCTTAATCCGATGCGCGACCTTGTTGAAAGAAGAGGAGAAGACGGACGAAATCCTCACCGCCCAGGAGAAGTCCTTCCACCACGTGACCCACGACCTGGTACGAGAAGTGACCTCGCCGAACTCCACCGTGAGGAAGCAGGCTATGCACTCCCTCCAGGTGGTGGCCCAGGTCACGGGGAAGAGCGTCACGGCCATCATGGAGCCCCACAAAGAGGTGAGGCTGGGCTGTTACATATGTGTTAACTGCAGTGAGAATTGTGTTTGCTCAACGTTGGAAAGAGGAAGAATTACCAGCGGAGGAAGAGATAATTAAGACAATTTTAGTGTGCAGAAATGGACTGACACTAAAAATGAAAGAGAAAGAAGATTCAGGATATCTTAGAACATGGGACACCTTTTATCAATGGCTAGAAAAACGAGGGAGAGATTAGATAACCTGTAGATTAGATAACCGTTATAAGATAAGATAAGATAACATAAGATAACCTTTATTGTCATTTTTTTACTGTGGGCACAACGGTACACATCAAAAATGAATTGCCTGCTCTCAAAGTGAAACACATACATGGCACACACCTAAACATACTATATACAACATATGTATAGACCCACACCCCTACATATACATAACAAATATTAAATACTGTCCATCTTGAATATATAACGGAAGGAGGAAGCTTGAGAGTTCATTGTCATTTTTTCCTGTGGGCACAATGGCACATGTTAAAAATGAAATTGAGTTGCTTCCTCTCAAAGTGTACACACACACCACACACATTTAAAACATACTATATACAACATATATATATAGACCTACACCCTTACATATAAGTAACATATAAATATTATTCACTGTCCACCTTGAATACATAACAGTCCACCTTGAATACATAACAGAAGGAGGAAGCTTTGGAGAAAGGAGTTGAACGTGTATTAGTAAGCTAAATATTGGGATCCAGACAATAGGTTGCTGATAAAATATTAAGCATTTGTGATTACAAAAAAATAATAAAAGAAGGGGTGAGGCTGGCCATTGTTGGCCCGCAGCTGCCAAATTGAAGCTTAGTGTCCAGGTTCCCACTGATGATCCCAACGAAGCGAGCAGAGCTGAGACTTTTCAATCTCTAATGCAAAACTTTATTGAGCTCAACATATCAGCACAGAGGAATGGAAAACCAGCTCTGATGAATTGGCGCCTCAATCAGTATATTAGAAGCATAGAATTTCCCTCCAATAAGGTGTCAGACTATTGTTATGAGATTGATTGAGCTAGAGCAGGGGTAGGCAACCTTGGCTCTTTTATGACCCGTGGACTTCAACTCCCAGAATTCCTGAGCCAGCCACGCTGAGGGAAAAAGGAGAGTTTTCCAAGCTGAGCCATGCTGGCTCAGGAATTCTGGGAGTTGAAGTCCACAAGTCATAAAAGAGCCAAGGTTGCCTACCCCTGAGCTAGAGCAATGTTTCTCAACCTTGCAACTTTAAGACGTGTGGACTTCAACTCCCAGAATTCCCCCAGCCAGCGCATGAAGTTGAAGTCCACCCGTCTTAAAGTAGCCCAGGTTGAGAAACATTGAGTGAGCATGTGGGATTCGAGAAGATTCTAAGATGCTCTGATGGTTCTTTACTTTTAGAGACCTTCTCCAAATTGATTGTCCCTTCAGATGTAATGCTACAAGTTTTGTTCTCCGAGGGCTCAACCTGGATTGTGGGCCGGATGGGGGAAACGACCGTGACGATAGTGGTGGTATCAAACCAATAAAGATCATGTTCTTGATTGACCTCTCTGTCTTCTAGGTACTCCAGGATATGGTTCCTCCCAAAAAGCATTTGCTCCGACATCAGCCGGCAAACGCCCAGATCGGTTTGATGGAAGGGAACACGTTTTGCACCACTCTGCAACCCCGGCTTTTCACCATGGACCTCAACGTGGTAGAGCACAAAGTATTTTATACAGAGGTATTTTATCCTTTGACTCTTTTCAGACCGTTTTCTAAAATTTGAGCCCTGTAAATCGGCAGCGCTGTGGATAAAAATAATAATAATAAAGTTGGAAGGGACCTTGGAGGTCATGTAATCCAGCCCCCTGCTCAGGCAGGAAACCCTATACCATTTCAGACAACTTTGCTTCTCTTTGAACTTTCAGCTGCTGAATCTGTGTGAGGCTGAAGACTGTGCCTTAATGAAATTGCCCTGTTATAAGAGTCTGCCATCTTTGGTGCCCCTTCGGATTGCAGCGCTGAGTAAGTTGATCAAGAATTGAAGATAGCTGGGAGTACTGCCTAAATCAGGGGCCTTCAAACTTGGCCCTTTTATGACTTGTGGACTTGAAGATCCCAGATTTAGATCCATATTGATCTAGATCCAGCATATGAATACATAAGAAACCAGACCCAGGGGTCTTCAAACTTGGCCCTTTTCTGACTTGTGGACTTCAACTCCCAGATTTCCTCAGCCAGGCACGCTAACGAACAAAATGGAGGCTGGCTGAGGAATTCTGGGGGTTGAAGTCCACAAGTCATCAAAGGGCCAAGTTTGAAGACCCCCCTGGCTTAAAGGGAGCAGTTCCAAGCTTAAGGAGAGCTGTGTTGAAGGGAAAAAAATGGCATTCGTTGGCTCAGCGGCATCCCCTGAACTTGGCATACAATTTCCAGAATTCCTAGTCAAAATTACTAGCAATGAGGCGTCCTTGGTACTCCCTGAACTTAATTGTTTTCTTGGAGACGTTTCACTACCAAACTAGGTAACGTGATCGGTGCACAATAATGCACCAGTCCGGACTGGCGGAGGTGGTGGTGGTGGTGGTGGGAAAAGGGGATAATTTTGTGCGTGCGTGTGCCCCCCTTTTGCAAACGCAGCTTCATGCCTGTGCGTGCACACACCCAGTTGCCCACCACTTCCGTGGCCCAGTTCTGAACGGACTACATTCTGGTACCAGGCCGTAGCCCGGGGGTTGGGGACCCTTGACGTAGCAGAACAATCCACCAGAAGAGCCTCGTTTTAGGACTGTTTGAATTCCCGCTTCAGATGGGGACTTGCTTTGTTTGATTTCACGCAGACGCCTTGGCTGCCTGCAACTACTTGCCCCAGTCTCGAGAGAAGATCATCGGCGCTCTCTTCAAAGCCCTCAATTCGACCAACAATGAGCTTCAGGAAGCTGGCGAGGCCTGCATGAGGAAGGTTTGTGATGGGGAAAGGACGCTCTTTCCTCTTGGTCTCCTTTCCTTTTTTTCCCTCAAGACCGGAAGCTGTGAGAGAGCAGACGGCAGTTGAAACCAGTGGAGTTTCTCTTGAGATCTTGGCGGACATGGTTTCTCCAGGTCGCGTTTACCATCTTCAGCTACTCCCAGAATTTCCCAGCCAGTAAGCTGTGTAGATTTCAACTCCCAGAATCCCCTAACCCAGAATCCTCCTGGCTGGCTGGCAAATTCTGGGAGTTGAAGTCCAAAGGTAAAGGTTTCCCTGTCCAGGCATGTGTGACTAGGGTGTAGTGCTCATCCCATTTCTTGGCTGAGGGAGCCAGCATTATCCGAAGACAATTTTCCATGGTCATGTGGCCAGCATGGCTATATGCCAGGCATGTCAAACTCACGACGTCACGTGACGTCGCATGACATATCGGGACTTTTTCCCCATTGCTGGCAATGAGGTGGGCGCGGTTTTGGCGTGACCCATCCGGCCCGCGGGCCGGCAGTTTGACATGCCTGCTATACGCCAAAGGCTCACGGAATGTGTTAGCTTCCACTGAATGGTACCTATTTATCTACTCACATTTGCATGCTTTTGAACGGCTGACGGTACCTATTTATCTACTCGCATTGAACTGCTGACGGTACCTATTTATCTACTCGCATTTGCATGCTTTTGAACGGCTGATGGTCCCTATTTATCTACCTGCATTTGCATGCATTCAAACTGCTAGGTGAGCAAGAGCTGGAGCCAAGGACGGGAGCTCACCCTGTTGCGCACAGCTCGGGTCTCGAACCCGGGCTGTCAGCTCCATCTGACAAACACAGCGTCTTGTGTCGTTGTGCCCCAGTTGAAATCCACCTAGCTTAAAGTTGCTAGGATTGAGAAACACCCGATTAGACTGGTGAAATGAACCAAGGTATGTATTGTAGGTCACACATTGGTCCAGCGATAATATCAGGAATGTCAGGGTCTTACTCTGATTGTGGTCCAGTAGCACAACGGAAGCATTTGCATTCTCTCGGCGTTCCCTGACCCTTGCCTGCTTTTTGGCCCCTTGCAGTTTTTGGAAGGCGCAACCATCGAAGTGGACCAGATTCACACCCACATGAGACCGCTGCTGATGATGCTGGGAGACTATCGGAGCCTCACCCTCAACGTGGTGAACAGGCTGACGTCGGTGACGAGGCTCTTCCCCAACTCCTTTAACGACAAATTTTGTGACCAGATGATGGTAAGAATCTGGCAGGAAGGCAGAAGTTCCGGGTGAGGAACTGACCGTCTTCTTGGTTGGATGTCAGTTTATGTAGAAACACAGAAGACCGACGATAGAAGAAGATCTGTTGTCGGTCCGTTGAGTCTGCCCTTTTAGTTTACTCGTCCTTTTCTTTTTATTTATTTCATAATGAATTAATTTATCAGCCCCGGGTGGATAAGAAAGAAGTGGATCCTGCATTTGCGGGAAAACACTAGGAAGAGGGGGGGGGGGGAAAGTGGCATGTGGCAATCCACGCAGAGTGACTTTTTTGTTGTTAAAAGTTTTATTGTTTTTCTAGTTTTACGTTTAAATATTTAAAAAGCAACGTGACGGCTGAGTTAATCGATAATTCAATAACCTACAAATATCTTTAGTACGTGTCTCAAACTATGACATTAAATATTTCCTCTTTTTTCCCCTTAGTATTTACTGTCTCCCGTTTAAACGAATACAATTCCTATTATATCAATTAAATAAAAGTAACTTTCTTACATTTATCAATAATTTTTAGTTTATACATATCCTAATTATTTTAGCAATCTTTATAGACTATCAATGTAGAGTGACTTTTTAATAATAATAATAATAATAGTAGTAGTAGTAGTAGTAGTAGTAGTAGTAGTAGTAGTAGTAGTAGTAGTAGTAGTAATAAAGTTGGAAGGGACCTTGGAAGTCATCTAGTCCAACCCCCTGCTCAGGCAGGAAACCCTATACCATTTCAGACAAATGGCCATCCAGTCTCTTCTTAAAAACCTCCAATGTTGGAGCATTCATCGCTTCTGGAGGCAGGTTGTTCCACTGGTTAATTGTTCTCACTGTCAGGAAATTTCTCCTTAGTTCCAGGTTGCTTCTCTCTTTGGTTAGTTTCCATCTATTTGTTTCCTGTCCTGCCTTCAGGCGCTTTGGAGAATAGCATGACTCCCTCTTCTTTGGGGCAGCCCCTGAGATATTGGAACACGGCTATCATGTTCCCCCCTCGTCCTTCTCTCCATTAAACTTCATTTTCCGTCGGTAGATACGCCTGCCACTCAGGAAGGGCAGAGTGCAGGAGGTAACCGGTCTCTCTCTAATCCTTTTGCAGCAACACTTGCGTAAATGGATGGAGGTGGTGGTCCTCACCCATAAGGGAGGACAGAGGAGCGATGGAAACGTAAGTAGCAGATTCTGTTTCGGGAGCTTTGAACTCGACAGCAGAGTCGTTCACAGCGGAGGGGGAAACAGGGTGTGAACGGGCAGGATTTGGTTCTGGGTCCCTTTTAATACCTGCTTTTTCATAGGATGGAAGTTTTTTTTATTTATTTTTCCCATAATAAGCCTGTAGCCCCTCCATGGCATTGAGAGGCAGCTGGTTGGACATTAGCTGCTGCTGCTGCTGCTGCTGCTGGAGCCGAAGTGACAGGAGCGCCCCTTTTTTTGTCTGAGTGAACAATGTGTGAGATCCCTGCGCAGTGGAAAGTGCGGCTGGACAACACCGGGTTTCTATTAGCAATTTCGTCAGGGTGAATTGCTGGCTCAATTTTCCCCCCAGCTTCATTCTGGAAGGGGTTCCGGGTTAATCCTTCCTGGGACGTGGGAGATAAATACAGAGAACCAATGACAGGAAGGGAGGGAGGGGGGAGGGAGGAAGGAAGGAAGGAAGGGAAAGAAGGAAGGAAGGAAGGAAGGAAGGAAGGAAAAATTAGAAGGAAGGGAGGAAGGAAAGGAAAAATTAGGGAGGGAGGAAGTAAAGGAAGGAAGGAAAAATTAGAAGGAAGGAAGGGAGGAAGGAAAGGAAAAATTAGGGAGGGAGGGAGGGAGGAAGGAAGGAAGGAAAAATTGGAAGGAAGGAAGGAAAAATTGGAAGGAAGGAAGGAAAAATTGGAAGGAAGGAAGGAAGGAAAAATTAGAAGGTAGGGAGGAAGGAAGGAAAAATTAGGGAGGGAGGAAGGAAAGGAAGGAAAAATTAGAAGGAAGGGAGGAAGGAAAGGAAAAATTGGAAGGGAGGGAGGGAGGGAGGAAGGAAGGATGGATGGATACTGATGATTTTGCTGGGGAATGCTGGCTGGGGGGATTCTGGGAGTTGTAGTCCACAAGTCTCAAACTTTCCACGTTGGGAGCCCCCTGATCTGAGTGGTCCTGAATGCCCGTGCCTGTCCGTCTCTCCATTGGCATTTTCTCCCTTCCCTACTCAGATGCTTTTCTGAAAACCTTCCGAAAGGCCATGATGCTGTGTTTGCGTGTATGTGAGAATGAACAGATTGGGGGTGTCTAATCTCCAGAACCTGGTTTATTCCATCAACCATCGGAAGGGGGGGGGAGATTCTAGCTGTGACCTCTGCATCCCACACAGTCCGTCACCATCCCAAAGAATTCTGCTTTTTCACAGCCTTAAAGCTCTCATCCCCCCCTGCTCAGGCCCACCCAGTCTGCTTTTTAGGAATTTTTTTTCTTTTTTTTGGAAATACGGGGAGCTCTGTGTATTCTCTGTGTGTGTTCCAAGGTCAAAAAAGAAAGGAAAAAAAGTTGCTTTTCCCATCCATAGGACAGTATTGCAGAATGCAGGAAAGGTTCCTTGTCTCCCTTCGGTCAGTTTGAGGTGAGAACACCATCCCTACTTTTAAAAATAATAATAAATAAATCAGTTTTTGGTTTGTTGGTCTGTTGGGTTTTTTTTTTCTCTCTCTCTCCTGACTGCAGTCCAAAGCAAACAGCACATACACGTTTTGTTTTTTGTTTTGTTTTTGTTTTTTTGTTTTTTTTGGACATTTGTGTTCCCTTTTTGTTGTTGTTGTTGTTGTTGTTGTTCATGCTGTGAATTTTTGTTTTTTCTTTTCTTTTTCCTCTTCTGGTGTTTGGCTCAGCCTGCCGTGGAAGGGGTAGAGGTGAGAATTGATGGTAGAGGCACAAGGAAGTGGTGATTTCTCCTTCTCCTCGCCTTCCTCCTCCTCCTCCTCCTCCTCCTCCTCCTCCTCCTTTTTCCTCCTCCTCCTTTATAATAATAATAATAACCATCGGCATTGACAAATTCGCCATTAGTCAATTGCAAAAGGCGGTCTTACTAGGAACCGCTTCTATTCTGCAACGAGATCTGTAACACCATCAAATATCCACATCTGCCTATCCCAGGTCCTGGGTAAGGACTCGATAGGTAGACAAAAATGCCAAATCCAGTCTGAACATCTGGCTGACTGCGATGATCCATAATAATAGTAATAATAAAGTTGGAAGGGACCTTGGAGGTCATCTAGTCCAACCCCCTGCTCAGGCAGGAAACCCTATACCATTTTGGACAAATGGCTGTCCAGTCTCTTCTTAAAAATTTCCAGTGTTTCTCCTCCTCCTCCTTCTTTCTCCTCCTCCTCCTCCTTTCTCTTTCTCCTTCTCCTCCTTTCTCCTTCTCCTTCTTTCTCCTCTTCTTTCTCCTCCTCCTCCTCCTCCTCCTCTTTCTCCTCCTTTCTTCTCCTTTCTCTTCTTTCTTCCCTTCCTCCTCCTTTTCTACCTTTGGGGTTTCATTGTTCCCTTTGCTGTGGTTTGTTAGCTGTCTTTGTTGCGTGTCGGGGCAGAGTGCATTGTGCCTTTGAGTGCAGTGCTGTGATTTGTCCTCTTGTTTTCTCGTCTGTGACAGAGTGGTTTGCGTAACACTTGCCGTGTGAAGAAGGGGTTTTAAGCATGTTCTTTATTTTTCACTAGGGGATTTGGGGTGTGTGTGTGTGTGTATTTATATTTATATATCTCTGAACGTTTTTGAGTTGCTAATGTCAAACTGAAAAGAAACAACGGAGGTCCCCCTTTCTCTTCAAGTCCTGGAAAGGCAGCCACCTTTCTAGATTTAATACATATTTTTTTTCCTCCTTCCCCCTCCAGACCTTTTTTTTTGGCATTTTATGCAATCCAGTGTAAAAAAAAAAAAAAAAAAGGAGTATAAAGTAGCCATCTTGTAAAAGAGACCCAACCAAGATGGCATGGATTTTAAAGTAGCTAGTCCTCATGAATAGCTGAGCTGCAGTGCTGGAGAAAGACGGCTTGAAGGCCAGAGAGACAATTTTACGGTCTAATCCTGTCCAAGTCCATTTTCAGCCCCGGTGCAGATTTTGCGTTTTGGAGAGATGTTGCTTCTGAGTTTCATAACTTCCCGGGCTTCTCCCGTCATGCCATTAAAAACAAACAAGATTTTACTACCCAAACATAACCAAATGATGTAGATAAACACCCCCCCCCCCTCCTCAAACCAGTACAGCTTCTGAAACGGCCTGGGGTAAGAACTGTGGTTTACCTCCTTGCTCTGGCTCGCTAGCCATCATCCCCTGTAGAAACAGGGCTGTAGCTTCCGTTGGGGCCAGCCGCTGGGTTAAGTATGTTGATGTGTGTATGGCTGCTGGACGCTGGCTGATATTTCTGTTTCGTCTGCAGGAAATGAAGATTTGCTCAGCCATTATAAACCTGTTTCATCTGATCCCAGCTGCTCCACAGACGCTGGTCAAACCTCTGCTGGAAGTGGTGATGAAAACAGAACGGGCCATGTTGATTGAGGTAAAGAACCCCTTCCTTCCTTCCTTCCTTCTTTTCTTC